TTCAGCGGTGACTAGAAATCAATGCCCTGGAAAGAATAAGAACAGGGCAAGCATATGTAATACTTCCTCAGAGTCTTCTCCCAGCTGCCAGCTATTTTCAGGTCAGAGAACTTCCTGAGATTGATGCTGCCTGTCTCTTTAGTTTCCCTCAGTGAATCTCTCAAGTATTTGCTTGTCCAATCTTCCCTTGAACACATCCAAAATTTTCACATCCTGAACAGTTTTGACAAGAATTTCCATAGGTACACTAACACAGGTCCATTAAATTAATGACTTTGCATCAACACCTGTCTGTTCCTTTTCGCCAAACTTTGGAATTTTATGAGACTACAGAAACAAAAATAATACTATGTTATCTGTGATCTTCCTGTACTACATAGCTTTCCTTTTTGCAGCAGAGGAAAAGAGGTCATAAGATCCCAGAAATCAAATGTGTAATTTCAAATACATCTCTTCTTTGACTTCCTCTACTCTTACTCCACACTGACAGCCTGAAAAAAGGCTTGAGATCAAACAAGATTCAGCAAATAGTGCAAAGGCTCCTTATATCAATCATGTTTTCTTAAATTAGATACTGAATATTATGTAGCTGTATCTAAATCAGCTACCAAGATTTACTGAATTTTAACAAGGAACAGAGGGAGAAGGCCTATGTAATGTAGTTTATATCAAAATATCTCACTTCTTCACATTGACAGGTCTAAGGAATTAATGCTTATGTGTAAAATCTCCTGAATGCTTGTCTCTATGGCAAAAAGACACTGATGTTAGAGAAAATGAATTTTTTAGGGTAAGCGTTTTCCCTACATTGTTTTACAGAAACTAGGTTTCACTACATAGTGGTTTCAGAGGGGTGGGGGGGTGGGGGAAGATACAATAAGGATAAAACCTAAACAGAGCTCAAAGGTCTGCATAATTAAGTTCCTTTGGAGCTTATCTAAGAATCAGTGGATTGACTATTCTCTAAGGCGTATTGCACCCTCCATCTTGTTGCACTCTATATGTAACACAGATTATATTCTATATAGATGAATAGCATTAGTTTTACAAAACTGTTGCTACTTTCTATTAGTGTCATTATCATCACTGACTTTTTCTTCACATGTCAAAAAGGATGTATTATATTTGGTACAATTGTTGCTATGTATGTTAACTGTTCCCAGGCATGCAGGGTTGCCTGTTCATGCACTGCTCCCTTTTCATGCAGGGTAACCTTTTTGCAGGGTAGTGAGCCTCCAGAAATCATTGACATCACTTACAGAAGTAAGGAATGTTGCACTTGGTCCAAAGCCAGATTGCAGGCTGTTTCTACTAAAGTCTCTGCTTCAGAGAATGACTGCTTGGAGTTGTACTTAAGGAAGTTCTTCAGTTGGGTATTTCTCAGTGGAAGTTCCCAGCTAATATTAGTCATAAGCAGTACTGAAGTACAAGAACTGCATTTCATAAGACTGTTGACACGCCTCCCAGGCAACCTAAAAATTGCCTATACTGTTCTAAAGATACGAGAAAAGAAAATCCAAACCTTTGATTTCTATATTTTGTAAAGACAATGGGTAAATTATACTTATCAGCTTCACCATCCAGATATACAGGAAAAGTACAAGATGACTTATAAACTTTATAATTGTACTAACACTACTTTTATGTTGCTTGTAGTACACTAAGCCTGTATGTCTGTGCTTTTATTAAATATACTTTAGTTAGTTTATGAAACCCAGGTTTTGTCTGTTACAACCTATAGGCAAAATACATACCTTATTGGCATTGCATATACTAAGGTTTTTATGGGTTCATCAACTAACCTTGCTGTTGGAAAAAAAACAAAAGGATTCAGCCTCACCTTCCTTCTTACTACGGAACAAAAACATGCTGTCTAAATTAAGCCACAACTCTCCTTTTCTGACCAGGAAGGGCATTTGAAGAGCAAAATACGCTTCTGACTTTGTTAAAACAACTGCAACGAGAAGCTATTGGAAGAACGGAGAAACACCACAGAGTAGCGCAGACTTTCAGCACCAAGCACCACGCCACACATTCCTTTGGGACCACAGTTTAAAAGTTGTGGAAAAGGTTTAAACATCTGACGTGAGCCACCTAGTGTCTGAACGAATGGCTACATTAAGAAGTCGCAAGCAACATTTTAACCTCTTTCTGACAGCTGGTAGAAGCCAATTTGTATTTATAAGCTTAAAATTGTATAAAGAAATTAGATTTAACACTTTATTGAAATACAGCCTTTTGGCAACTGCTGCACCACAAGACTACCTTAAGAGCAATCAGTTCTTCTCAAGACTTCGGCACAGTTTAACCAGTGAGCACACTGGTTAACGCTTCAGTAAAGACTAAGTAAAATTCCTTAAAATACCATTTCAGAAATAGTGTCAAACAGTAAACTCTATACAGATGATGTGAGATATTTAGGTAGGCTGCTTGACCCACTCAGAGCAAACTTTTGAATTTTCACTCTGAAAAAGTATCAACTTGCTAATTCCCTGGGGGGGAAACCAAAAATGTTTCTAAGTATAATTAGTCAAAATAAGACTCTCTGAGTCTGAAGACAAAGTGATATTTTAAAATAATACAAACATGAACCTTTTCACTACCACTCCTAAACTCTAGATAAGTGGTTTGCAACTGGTTTTAAGATTAGTAGATTCGTAAAATCTTAAATAATTTTTAACTATACTGATATACGCTTGCTCTTCCCAGTTACCTGGGAAGCAATTCTGCCTTAACAATGACATAAAAATATGAAATATCAGTGTGGGACAGAAATACAGAAAGTCATTACTGAAATAGTTGTAGAGAAGGAAATACAAAAAAAAAAAAAAAAAAAAAAAAAAAAAAAAAAAAAAAAAGAGAGAGAGAGAAAGAAAGATGAGGAAGAAAAGGAAAAAAAATAATTGACTGTAAAGCAGAAACTGTTCTAAAAGATCAAAATTAGAGATCACGCTAGGTACACAATATAGGTTTTACATTCTTTTCCCAAGGTTTTGGGTTTTTTTTCTTCTATTTAACAATTTGTCCAAAGGGCTGGAAATCTCTAAGAATGTCAGGATGGGTTGCTGTAAAGCTTCTAACATATATCTTATTGTATTTGAGGAGGAAATCAAGTAAAGAAAAAAATACTAAATAAAAGATAGAGAAAAGACCAGCTTCTCTTGTGCCTTATTGTGAAAGAATATTACTGATAAAGTACTGAGAGAAAAATGCATGTGATTTGAAAAATCATGTTTGTAGACAGTTGTCAGTTCTGCTTGGTCAGGTCTGGGACCTTCACAGCAAATTTACATTTCTAGAATTTAATAAACGAACTTTTATTTCCTGTAACAACTAAGGTGCGATGTCAGTGTTTCAGAGATGCTATATATGTTATGGCTCTATTCAAATTCAGATAGCCATAATCTTAGTTGATACATTTTTATCATCAGATAATACCTACTTGTACTTTTCTGCATATTATCTCTTTTTAAAATACAGTTTTAGTTAAATTATATTTACATACATTGAACTGAATTTAAGAATTGCAGGTTTTATTTCCATTACTGAGGTATCCATTACCATTTTAAGTGCAGAATTACTTGATAAGACTGAATAAAAATAAAAAATGTAAAAATTAAAAAATAAATACCCTCTTTTTTCCCTTTTTTTTTTTTTTTTTTCCTAAGACCTGGTTGAATGAAACCTTAACATGGATGTCTCAGACACTCTGTCTATGAAAGAAGAGACTGAATCCCCTATCTTGGAAACATGCTAACAGAGCAAACCCTGTCTGAACCTTAGAACCTCACCCAAAGTGCTTAAAGTGGCTAACCAGGAAGTATGTTGGTTCATTAAATTGTCTGTAAGTCTCTTTAGTCTTACTATAGATCAGAACAGAGCAAAAGAGTTGTTAAAGACTTGACAGGAAAGGTAAATTATAATAGAAATAGCTTTCAAGAGTACAGAGAACACCTGGCTGCTCTTCCTGTGGCTATGTGTGAGCTTCCAAGTGCACACACCCAGAGCGGGTAGGGCTGCCAGAGCTGAAATGCAGGTTCTGATCTGGGAGTGAGCAAAGGGACAAGTTCTGCTCTAGCAGAAGCAACACCACGGCCTGGCTGCGGATGTGTTCACTGGGTTTCAGAGATGGCCAAGGCTAATTCGAAATCTGTAATGCTTCTCTGCTGCTAGCTCTGTGACTGCACCCTTCAAGTATTTAAGAACTGCCTCGTTTTCTCCCATCATCTCCCACCCCTCTACACATCTTCAGGAAAAAAAAAGTACTCGTACTTGTGACCTAAAGAGAGAAGGGCTTGTAGCAGTAGCAAAATTAAAACTGTTTCCATTATATTCTGGTCTATAAAACTCATTGTCTGCATGAATTAAATGCAGGGGGGGAAGGGCCACCTTAGTAACCTACAAAAGGAAAAGTCACTTCAGAAAGAAAGTACTCTGGGCATGAAAAGTATAATTATGTTACAAATACAAGTAATTTACAAATCACGCTAAATCATGGAAAGACTGGAACAGGAGGGGACCTGTGGAAGTCAGGAGCGGCGCAGACCCTGCTTGAGGGGGCGCCCGGCCGCAGCCAGGCAGAGCCGGCGCTGCAAGGCAGATGGAGGAGAGCCGGCAGGCGAGCCCGTGCGCGGGGCTTAGGAATACAGCATAACTAAGC